CAAGAGCCCTATAAAGAAAAAAAGAAGTCAAGTTGGAGATCAAAAAAATTTTTTGGGGGGTGAGCACTGTTGACCGCAATAGCGCCAGAAAACGTTCTCAGTTTGCAGTGGTTCGTTCTCCTCAGGTACACAAAAAAAGAAAGAATAAAATTACAAGCAAAAGCAGTGCTGTACACTAACGAACAAACCGTTTAAAAAATAAAAATCTTCTTCAATAGAAGCTATAAAGAGCACTTTTGAAAAAGTTATCTACGTTTCATTCTGTCCACTGCATTATAAAGCCTTGTTTTGTGACCAAATTCAGCCAGAAATAATTCAGTTCCCTCGTAAGAGCTTAAAGCTTCAGTCCTGAAAACCTCACCTATTTTAAAGGTTCAGTATTTCTTAACGTAGATACGGAACCAAATTAAAACCCTCATTTTCTTCGTAATATCAGAATGTAGTACACAGCAAGACAGTCAACACGACTCTCCCAGTTCCTTGATTCTAGCTCAAAGAGTCGAGTCATAAACTACCAAATAAAAGCTTAAAACGAAAAAAATATCCCTAACCGGATTACAACAAGACCCGTCACCGCAGCAATTCTACTAGCAGTTAAACCAACCAATGTACAGGAAATTATGCAGCAGGCATTTCACACATGTATTCCGGAACTATTTACCCAGCAATAACCGAACAAATATTTCTGACAAGGAGTTCTAGCCGTTAAAAGGCACATTTGTTAAGGCAAACCTGGAAACGTCGTGTTCGGACCCTTCTCTTTATAGCAGTTCGGAAATGCAGCTTCTCGTTATCAGTCCAGAAATAATTCCCTGCATCATGCCAACAGTTTCGAACATATCCCTCATAACTTCTCCGCAGGATTCCTTACTCTCGCAATACTTCTCAGCTTCAACAATGCTGTCATATTTGAAGAAGTTGGCACAGAATACGAAAGAAACAATCCGCCTGTATCTTGATCATTATTCTTCGCTGGTAAAGTTTTGGCCTCGCCGTACTAGCGGGAGAATGATCACTATGTGCAACCTGCTAATGCTGCTTTCGAATGCTAGGAAACACTGGCTTTCCGACAGTGACAGTAGCATTCGAACTCATCTACTTTTTTCAAGAAACGAAAGCAACAACTGTAAATCTGCACAAAGCGCTGCCTGCACGTACGCGTAGCTTATGGGACACTCGATGCTCCGGCTTCCTTATCTCCTTCACTGCAAGAAGATGCCAACACATAAAACCAAAACCATTTAAAGTTAAACGCCAATGTTCGTACTCATTTACTTGTGTTAAAAATACGGCAGCCTTTAAGAGCAATGCTCATTTCTAAAGAGCTTGCAGCTATATGGAGATTTCACAAATCACCTCGGATGTATGGCAAACAGTTTGGCGTACTGCCGCCTAAAATATGATAGTCTTCTTACGTGAAAAGCAGCTTCTACTCGTTGTATCCAATAAAAGGGGAAAGAATGTACAAATAAAGTTTTCACACTTTGGACAAGAACGGTTACAAACTGGAATAGTGGTAAAAAAGACACCGAGAGTAAAATTAGAGAAAGAGGTAGATGATGATACTTCACATATTGCAAGCTATCTGCCATTAAATAAACGCAACTCTTAAAAGGATCTAAATACCGGTTATCAGAAGTGTAAGACCCTTTTCGACCTATTTAACCTATCATGGAAAAAAGTAGACTTATGTGGAACTCGTTCACCGTTCAGTAATTAACTCTTAGCAGTCACGACGACTAAGCAAACACTTCCTCAATCTAAACAAAAGTTTTCAAACAAAAAAACGCAGACATCATCGTACCTTCCACTTTACCAACTGCACTCGTTACGCATCTGTAAAAACTGTCTAAACTGTCCGTTATTTTCAGCTAACTATACAAAATTTAAATCCACTACTTATTTAAACATATAATTTCAGGTCTACTTTATAAATTCAGCAGATTTTTGTATAGTTTGCCCTAGTTTCCTCGACTTCTTAATCCCACAATTTCGCCAACATTTCAAAATTTCTTTTCGAAATTTGTGATGGCATCAATGAACACTTCCCAACGGCGGCTATTTTTCGTCGACAAAGTCGGCAAAATTTCGTTGAACTGTCAAAAGGAAAAAGCACTGTACCATTTTCATTGCCGAACAGATAAAGCGCAGAAGGAAGAGGGATGCTAAGAATGATAACAATTATAAAAATTTGACTATGATCCTATTTCTGCGCAACGAATAGTACAATATGAAAAACAATAAAAGTTAGCTGCAAATAGGTCTGTAACTTATGACTGCTACCTAAACTGCTTGTCTAGAAACTAAAGATAAACATTTGTTCTACTACCAAAGAACCAAATCCAGCACAAACTCCATTTTATGGTACCTCAGGATTTTGCGCTCGATTTTTTGAACTGGAAGCGTACAATTGCAACGCGCCAGCAGTGAAGTTTTAACGAACTTTAAACGGCTCATTATTAACAAAATAAATAAATTTTCTGCTGTTGCTTTTCAAATTTTTTTCAAAAAAAAAATTTTCAAATTTTTGCTTTTAACTTGACAGAATTCAGATTTCATGCGAAAGTTTTTGCATCATTATTTATCATCTATAAAATCAAATTTCTACTGTACGCGACCATTTGAATGGCGTAAAATAGATCTGAATCGTTATGCCACGGTAAACAATACCGAGAAAGATCATAAAGAAATACCCCATTATTTACCAAGAATTATATAAGACTCATTGAACTACTTCACATATAAATGTGCAAAATTGAGTTGTCAAATGGAAACCTTTAACACCAATAAGCTTAATTTTGTTAAAACACTTTAGGACCTGTCCAAGTTTCCTGATAGTTCCCTCAAACCCCTCGCCCAAAAAAAAAAAAAAAAAAAAAAAGGCTG